CACCGATAATTATCTTGTGCTTGCTAGTAAAGTTTTCAAAAAAAAACGGAATAAAAGATAAAAATTACAACACTTTATTTATAATTAAGGCAAGATTTCACTTTGCTAGTGATTGTTTTTACAATAAAATACTTAAGCCTTTTTTATACAAACAAGTCATCAAGTTCTCGTCCAAGTTATTTTTGTTTGTTTTTAAAGTACCTAATAAGAATGAGTGTTTTATGTTGCATACACAATGAATTGAATTTTGTTTAAATCACAATCTAATCTACATAATATTATAACATGACAGTTTAAAGGTAACTCCTCCTAAAGCCCCTCTGGGGCTACTGCCAGTTCCAAGCCCGGATAAAGGAGGAGAGATGGGCATGAGGTTACCGACCCCATTTTGTAGAAAACTAATCCGCTAAAAAAACACTAACCACTAGGTTTGAAAGTGATTAATCTATCATATTCAGTTAGACAAAATAAACATGAAATTTCTTGATGTTTTTCTCAACAAAAAAAAGAAAAAGAACATTCCATTTACCAATAAATAAAAAACAATCTTAAAACCTATCCAAATTGTCATTATTTTTTAAGAAAAATTATTCCCCTAGACAACTCTTGATATTTCATTCGATGACCAATTACATCATATCATTGAGAAACAGTTGTGTTGAGTTGAATTTCAGTTAAATAAATTATTTTGTTCCTTAGAAACATTTTAAATATTCATTCTTTTCATGATGATGAAATATTGAATGTTCTTTATTATATAACTGTAGCTTTTATTTTGACGTCAATGTATAAAAGATTATGAGTAATTAATGAGGTCCGAATGTGATAAACTAAGTTCTAGCCACACTGTTCAATTGATTTTTTTTTCTCATCCGGATAAGTTAAAAAGTCCTTTGTAACCGTTTTCTCTCTTCTTTTCTTCCATTTTTTCAGTCAATAAGTAAGGTGACATATAACAAGAATAAGGTCAATTTGTTTGTTATTTTTTTGAAAGATCAAAGTGGATGACTGATAGAGAAAATTATACAGTATCGATTTTTAGCATATTTATACTTGATAAGTTTTTATTAGATAATTGGAATTCATTGAATGAAACTTTTAATTTTAAAAATATGTGGATGAAACTTGTAAGCAGTGCGCATCTACGATCCCGCCCCCGCGAGATTCCAACCCAGGACCCACCAGACCTATGAGACTGGCTTCAAGAGGAATTTCCTGAAACTCTAGGGGGGCAGTGAACAGTGGAGTTCAACCGGGTCAGTTGTGACATAGTAGCCCATTGATGACAATGGTGGATGTGTTGCCCAATTTTGTGGATTACTTGAAGTTAGACATTAACACCATCCTATGCCGGCTCAGTAGTCTAATGGTTAGGCGCTCGCGCGCGCAAAACTGGTATATCGAATCTCACGGGGGGGGCGGGATTGTGGATGAGCACTGCCGATGAGTCCCATACTAGGACGAAACGGCCATCCAGTGTTTCCAGTTTTTCCATGGTGGGCTAGCTTCAATTGACTCATGATTTCAACTATTGGAATTTCTAAAATCTCCACAGTACCCCTTCTGATAATGTGAATGACTTAAAATATTTAATCAGGTTTATCAAGTTGGTCTTTAGTTTTTCATTAAATAATGATAAGAAACGAAATATAATAGTAGATAATAACCAATCTTTTAGATTATCGTAATTTCTATAATGTTTTAGCTCAAAGAGACGGTAGTATTTTTTCGATGGAATTTATGTAATAAATGAAACTTACCCTCAGTATCCCAATCTTTTATCGATTTTCATTTTTCACGGAATTAGTAAGTTAAAGAGCATTTATTTGAAGATATAATACTCATTCAGGTATGCATTCCTCAAATGGTGACTGTACAACAATTAATTAGACTTAAATGTGACTACAATACTTGAAATCTGGATGACATAATGTAGGCCTCAACCAATGGATAAAACCTAGATATAGCAGTAACAGATATTTGAATGTCAACTATATTTTGGCAGATACACAACACATCCAATTACTACTCGTGATGTGATCAAAAGAATTTTTATGAACTATTAGATGAATAAATACAAGTTAGAAGAGATCAAAAACAACTCAATGTAATGGATGTTTAAATACAGGGCAATTAACCATTTGTATAATTATATACTCAGTTCACGTTATAACCGGGCAATCCATGTATAATTAAATTAGGCAGATGTCATGGCAACAAATAAGAACGAGGTTTATTCAGCGTGTCTAATCAGTTTCAGTAAATTTCAGCATTCACTAACTGAAATTATTATTTTTTGCACTTTGGAAACAAAGATTCTATCCACTGTTACTCACTATAGATTGCTCTTGAAGTAAACTATAGATTAAACAAGAATCAGCAATCTAAAGTGACAAATTTGTTTGAGCAATTGAATCGGTTTCCTAAGATCTTCTAATAACCCCACGCTAAATTTATACAACAACTTGAACACGAGAGAAAAAGCTCGAGACGTGGAAATAACGTCTTACTCCAAGGCTGGTTTGTATACAGGGTATTTACAGCATTTCAGGTGACCTTGGGCTTCTTGAAGGTTTTGGAAACTTAGCAAACAAAGTAGCAAAATAGGCAATCATCTAATGAGAAATAGGACGCATAACTATTCACTTTATAGATGGTTCTGAGAAACTTCTATTCAGGACCTCTCTGGGCTTGTTTCGAAGAATATTCTGGGTCTTGCCAATAAAAAGGACTCCAAGATGTATGATAAACAATCCATAGAAAATGTCCCGTATACTGATCATAAATACCAGTGAATGAATAATGTCTTCATTTCCAAAGTTATCGTTTCTTTTTGATTCATGAAGAAATATTTATTTATAAACAGCTATTTATTACATGGTTTTACCTTGACTATGATTGGAACAGTAACTAGCGATGAAATGTAGGACTCATGTTTTGTTCTCTTTCAGGATTCACCAGTTGTTAACTGTTATTCAAAGCAACATACAAATGTTGATAAAAAACATAAATAAGATAGTATTCATCCTGACCATTTTAAAATCGATTATATTATGATTGAGGCAATTTGTTGTTGTGCATGTCAGCTAAGCTGTATGTCGTGTGAAACAAAATAGCTATGGTGAAAAAGTAACCATTTATGATACACTTGAAGCCTCATCATAATTTTATATTTATTTTAATAAGATATGTCACTTTATGTCCTTGAATAGAGAAAAGAAAAATGATCCTAGAAATAAGACATAATAAATATTGGTTTCTAAAAATCCAAGCAAACAAAATTGGATATCGATATCGAAAAATAGGCAATTATTATAAGTAATTTTGTTTCTTCAAAAAAAAAGAACTATCAATATCAGTGATAATTATTATCATGGTATTGGTGATAAATATAAATAATGGTCGTTCTATTATTGATTAGTGTTAGTATATTGATTTTTAGTATGTTAAGAATTATCTTTTTTCTGGTAATTATATTCATGGAGCATCACCAAAAACTTTATGGATACCTATTTATTTCGTTGTAAATTACATGTTGTACAATCGTGTTATCAATAGGTTTTTGACTTATGTAACTTAAAGGGAATTGCAATAATTTAAAAATTTTGCTTTAATTAAGTTAAGAATGAGAAAATGATTATGTTTAGTTGGTTTCAGCTTATGTATATAAATACAGCAATTTTCGGTGGAAAGTTCAAGCATCTTAAAATACGTGTTTGATGTAGTACAATTATGGAGTCGACAGGAATCCAGAAATTTCCATCATAGTTTTTTGTTATAAATTTTAATGTTAGGAATTACAGTAGCCTTACCCTTACAAAAGCTTTTATATGTTCAAGTTAATTAAACCCTTAAACTTATCTATTTGACAGATAGTGTCGTTTTAGTCTATAATAATTCACCTATGTTTTGGTGCGTTTCTTCATGCATGTATAAAGGGTATGCATAATACAATGAATGTACCAACCTACGTATTTATGTCTCTTATCGGCTTAAATATTAATTGCGTGAGCTATTAATTACTCATTCGGATATATATACACATTTGCTCATTAACGTACACTAATTCACTCATCTCTTTTTTGTGATTTCTTGCTTGTTGAAATTAAATGTTCTGACCACTTCGTTTCGTCTCCTGGAAATTATTAATGGTTATGAATTATGGTAATAATAGCTATCTAGTTGATTGTCATACAGAATATCCGCAACAGAGTGAAATGCGATAAAGCTGAGTTATGCCGGCAAGCCTATGGTGAACGTGGGAATTTCTCAAACTGACTTTAGCTAGACGACCATTAAAAATCAGAGAAAACTGAATAGATAATTCATTCCAGTAAAATACAATACACACCCATAATCATTCCAGGGACCGATCATGAGACTTTAAAGAATCTCATCAACCTTGTTCCTTTCTTATCAAAGAGTTGAATTCCCTAATTCAGTCATTCGGTGACATGGTCAAGTCACAATCCATGACCGTTAGTGATACTCATCTAACCCTCCATATGATTGAAAACCGCTTTCAAACTTAGTAACTTATAAGAACATAATTGTGTAGACAAATCCAGTTTTTTAGACCAATTACAAATCAGAACATATTGACAAACTTCTTATACTTACATTTATTAAATTTAAGGTCATACTATCCTATCTACTTTATTAATAAATTACAAGTAATTTCAAAGTTATAGATCATAATTAAAGTTACTTTCAAGCAACGAAATTCTTTAATTACATCGATACCATTTTTCTCAAAGTAATCTAATCTTGTCTACTTTTTCTTGATTTAATTAACCTTTATGAGATATTAATTTGAATGTAAAAAGATTGTTTTGTTAGTAATTTAATTTCTTTTTTCTTCTTTTTTTTATTTCAAATAAAAAAGTACTAAACGCTTGTTCTTTTAACTTCACAGTAGGAAGTAATACAATTTTTGATTCTATGACATTTCTTAATCAGAAGTGGAGTTCAACTAAGTCAGTTGTGAGATAGTAACTCACTGATGACAATGGTGGATGTGTTGCTCAATTTCGTGGATTAGTTCAAGTTAGATATCAATACCGTCGGATGCCGGCTCAGTGGTTTAATGGTTGAGCGTTCGCGTGCGAGACTGATAGATTCTAGGTTTGAGTACCATGTGTGGGATTGTGGATACGCACTGATGAGGAGTCCCACAATAGGATGAAACGGCCGTCCAGTGTTTCCAGGTTTTTCATGGTGGTCTAGCTTCAATTGACTCATGATCTCAAATACTGAAGTATTTTTTTTGAAAACATTGGAATCGATAAAAACTTATCCAATATATTTCCAATGATTTGCTTTATTTTAAAACAACAAAAAAAATACATTTAATTAACCATGAACAAAACGTGTAGTCATATAAGTAGAAAAGATATAGAAAACATTTTGTTACCATTTTTGACCAATTTTCTGGTAAACACTTCTGTGTAAGTAAGAACAAAATTATTCTAATTCAATTTATTACCTTGAAAATATGGGGAAAAAATTTTATTCAAAAAGAAATAGGAAAGGAAATAATAATATCTAGTTCTAGTAAGATTAGTTTAAAGGACATACGTAAGCCAAAAGTAGGAAAATAAAAGGGAAAGAGAAAGAGAGAAGCAAAACAACACGGAAGTTATTCAAAATTAAGACAAATCATTATGAGTTAACTTGACAAAGAGAAAGAAATGACACATTTAAAAACAAAATAATCTAAAGTATGGAACATGAATGATTATTGATGTTTAACCAAGGGAAAAAAATAGGGACAAAAAAGAACATCCGGTTTTATTTCTAAAAAAAAATGCAAACGTATCTAGGTAGGTTGCTTATTAAGGTTAATTTTCTTTTTCATTTATTCTTAAACTGATTTCTGTGTTTAAAGTCAAATGCTAATACTTGAGTAGTTGAGTTTATATGCTTATATACATATATAGTTATAAATTGTGTATAAAATAATTTAGTCTTATAAATAATCACTGGGCAGTCTATGCCACTTATCAGTTTTAGTTTTGTTTTTAAAAAAAACACTATCATTCAAAAAATCTTATCACAATCCATTGAAATATTTTAAAACATTAATAAACTAAATTAAGATCATCCTATCATATATATAACTCCGTCTGTAGTTCTTTTAGAGTAAGTATTATAGATATAATAAGACAACAACTATTTATTACACAGGTTGAAATCATGAGTCAATTGAAGCTAGACCAACATGGAAAACCTGAAAGCACTGGACGGCCGTTTCATCCTAGTATGGGACTCCCAGAAGTGCGCATCCACGACCCCGCGCCCCGCGGGATTCGAACCCAGGGCCTACTGGTCTCGCGCGCGAGCACTTGAACACTAAACCGCTGAACCGGCATCCAACGGTGTTAATGTCTAACTTCAATCAATCTACGAAGTTGCGCCACCGCGCATCATTGTCTTCAGTGAGCTGATATCTCACAACAGACCTGGTTGAACATCACTGGTAACGGCTTCTCACTAGAACTCCAGAAGTATCTCCTGAAGCCAGTCACTAGTGATCAGTCGATTATTATCAGAATGGGTTTTGCAAAGATTTTTAGAAATTTCACAGGTTGAAATCATCAGTCAATTCCATGTTTTCCATGGTGATCTAGCTTCTGATAACTATTTATTAGACAAAATTTAAACAAGGGAAAATAATCTAAGAACTATAATTATAAATTCAATTCTGATAGAAATATGTGAAATAAATTATTATTGAGAATATTCTGTATTCAATATGTACTTTCTTTTTAAGTTTACACTGAAACTAAAGTGTGTTGTATCATATAGAGAGGAAATGTCATCACATTAAAGCAAAAATCACTTACAAGAAAATATCATGTTATTTATATTGTATAAATGTAAACTGTAGTAGTAAATAAAGGTCAAATCAATCAGTGATATGTCATTGCCTAATATCAGAGAGTATGTAGGCAGAATTTGTACTTCTAACAAGTACAAAAGTACTATACATAAAAATTAAATGTAAATTAATCTAAACGATTTAAATTTAAATGATTTCAATGTTTCATTAATCAAACTTGTTTGGATGGCTGTTAATTACTTTCAGACTTTCAGTAGTGGTCTAACATTGATCCATTCATGATCTAAATCAAAACTGAAATTATCAAATAGCATACAACGCTTAATAAACACATCTATATTAAGGGATTTTTGGATTTTTTGGAGATTGTAGTAACCTCAATAGTTGAGATCATGAGTCAATTGAAGCTAGATCACCATGGAAAACTTGGAAGCCCTGGATGGCCTATTGTAGGATTCCTCAGCAGTGCGTATCCACGACCCCGCCTTGCGGGATTCGAACCCAGGATCTATCAGTCTCGCGAGCGAGCGAGCGAGCGCTTAATCACTAGACCACCGAGCCGAAATTTATATTATATCTATATTAAAAGCTTTTCCACTCATGCTCAAATGTTGATCTTTGTGTAATGAAAAAATATGAGTCATAAAACGTGAAAAATGTGATGTTGAAATTAAATGACAGTTAAGTAAGTGATTTGTTAATTTGTTGTGTTTTGTTTTGAAATATTTACATGTAACATTCTTATTTATCATCCAGCTGTGTTTAACTACTGAATAGCATATAGTTTCAACCAGTTTAGTGACAACAGTTTATACAACTATTGAAGGCTGTATGAAAGAATGAAGTGACTTAAGAGACAGAACTAGGGTTCAGAATATAATAACATTTCATTTTTTGACTCTCTTTCCATTCGTGTTATAAATTATTCTCTGAATTTTAAACAGGGTAATCTGTTGTTTGAACAGTTGACAACCAACTGAACTTTTTATGTATGGTTCCTGTAGTTCACTGATTGTCTAACCCACACATAAAAGTGATATCTGTAACGTAGTCTACTATTAGATTGGTTCATTTCGGTTCAACGTCTATCAGAGACCATAAAATAAGTTTATTATGTCAGTGAGAGTTATATAAATGTTTATAATTATTCAGACATGACTACGAAATAAAAGAGAAATGCTTTAGAATAAAAATCGATTTCTCCTTCACGTTTATATAAACTGTCCACCAGATAAAACTTCAATCATTGTTTACAAAACCAGAATGTTTTATTATTGTAAATCATTTCCGAATCACTATTTATCCTTTAATGATCACATCACTATCTCTTCATTCTTTTGAACTTTGTACTTATTCAACCGGGATCATTTAATTTCTAAATTTTTTCCCACAGAAGGCTGTTACTGATGGTATTTGGCCAATGGATGTTGAGTATCTTGCGTAGACAGCTATTTATAAATACTTGCACCTTCTTGATGATGGTTGTTGTAGTTCTCCAAGTTTCAGCTCCATACAGTAGAACTGCCTTGACGTTCGTACTGAAGATTCTCACTTTGATATTGGTTGAAAGTTGTTTTGAGTTCCATATGTTCTTCAACTGTAGGAATGCGACCCTTGCTTTGCCAATCCTTGCCTTTACGCCTGCATCTGATCCTCCTTGTTCATCGATGATGCTTCCCAGATATGTGAAGGATTCTACATCTTCCAGAGTTTCGCCATCAAGAGTGATTGGATTGCTGTTCTGCGTGTTGAATTTGAGGATCTTGGTTTTCCTTTGTGTATGCTGAGGCCTACTGATGCAGAGACTGCTGATACACTGGTTGTCTTTATCTATATTTGTTCGTGTGTATGAGATAAGAGCTAGGTCATCTGAGAAGTTCAAATCGTCTAATTGATTCTGAGCTGTCCATTGTATTCCGTGTTTTCCCTCAGATGTTGAAGTCTTCATAACCTAGTCGACCACCAGAAGAAAGAGGGAGAGAGTACATTTGATCTTACTTATATTAATCCGCTGATTGTCTAAAGAAAATTTAATAGTTTTTATAAGGAATACTTGGATTGTATGATAAATGAAAAATTTCACACAAAGGACCATGAATTTAAATTATCCGTTTCTATTTACGAACAACAATAAACTGGAATAAAATTTTAATATTTTAACTAATAATAATAATAATAAAGAGGTAACTTGTAATCAAAGATATACGATGGTAACTAAGTAAAAAAAACACAATATGGATGAAACAGAAGAGCAAGTTATACGAAATCATAAATTAACCGATTAAACATAGTAACTGATAAGATCAAACATTATCGTTAAATTGTTCATTATTATATAGAGGAAATGTGAAAGAATGATATCAATGTTTTATAGTAAATAATATCAATTAGTTTCTTTAAACATTACCTACTTTTGAATGAAATCAAAAATACCGCTTCTGAAATACGTAACTATCTAATTTTAATAGTTGAGGGAATATACGTGATTTCAAAGTTAATTGTTAGTTTAAATTTCATAAGTAGTTTTTTCTTCTTGTTATTACATTCGGTTAATAGAATAGAGTAAAACTAAAAACTGATGACGTAATATTGAAATGATCAAGATTGATTAGAATGGTATTGGGTGATATTAAAATAACACTCTTTACTTCACCAAAGCTAAATGTTGTATGGTGATAACTTATTACTCATAGTGAAAAACCGATTTAATGTTAATTTATATTCTGAAAAGAGGAAGAACAAACACTCTAGCAGAATCCATTTTTATTTCGTTGGTTCTCGTCAGCTGCTTACAACCTGTGATATTTAAAATGGTGGAAGTTTACAAGAGCGCACCCTTGCTATACTATGTCTTTAATATAACTCCGAATAAAACTCTTTCATGTAAGAAGTTTAAACCATTATGTAATTATGATTTTTAAATATCACAGGTTGTAAGGAGCTGACGAGAACCAACGAAATAAACATGAATTCATGCTATTCTGCTAGAATGTTTGTTCTTCCTCTTTTCAAGACGTTAAAGGGAACTATGTGTATGTAATTTATATTCTATTATTTTCAGAAATACCTGTAATAGTCATATATTTTCTAATTTATTCACGATTTTCTTTATTCAACTCTTTACTAAATTTAATTGGCTAACTTATTACTGAAAATGATTCACATCTACAAATAGTGTTTGTTCAAGTCTTGTTATTGATTAAATCCTATTGATGAAGCTTAATTGCGACCAATAATTCAAACAACTCTATATCTTATACGCTAATTCTGAATGTTAGATGATTATAAATATTCTTCGTTGGTTGTAAACAGAATCCGAAGAAGCTTTGTTGAGCACAAAGGATAGATGTTATTTGAAATAATTAGGTGAATGAATGAAGTTGTATAGTTGAAAGTGTTGTATTATTATATCAATTATCATTCAAAATAGGAAACGAAAAGCTTTGACTGTGAAAGGTACAATTTTCAGATGGAATGATTTTTTTAACGATTCTTCCATTAATATCAAGCCATAATGAATGCTAACCTTAAGTGGAAAATATATCAAAGACTTTGTCATATAAATAATTAACTGATGAATTGATTGTATATGTACTAAATTAATGACTGGATCTGAAGGATTATCGTACTCACCATCACGTCTTATTTTGCGTCAGAATAAACTTCATAAATCATAGTGATCGTTTCAAATATCAATTGTTGTTTATTAGATATGCGGTGGATCCTAAAAAATAAACGACTGTTTTGTATAGTATTTTGGGAAGAAGGTTGTCAACTTCATACCAGCTTCTTGATAATCTAGTTTTAAAATAATTCACAGATCATTATTTAAGAAAACCTTCACTGAATATTTTACTCACCAGCATCAAATTTAACATATTAATCAGCTACAACATGATAATAGTGAGAATAATATAATAATAATCCGGTTTCATTCAATTATTAAAGCACGTTCAGTCTACTTTAGTTTAAGCAATCAAGCAAAAACTTTGTGACTGCGAATAAAAGTTGTGGTAACTGATTAAATTTTAATTCATTTTACAAAATATATTACTGCACGCTTGTTGTAGAAATAAATCTACCTACTTTTACCCAAAGTTTATGCTGATTATAACGTTCAGAAAAACGATGAAAGCTCCACGACCAAACCATCCAACTCAGAGAACAAAACTCCATCATAAATCTACCCAATAGTTCATATTAAACAAAAGAACCGTAAAATACTGGAACCCAATGAACAAATTTAATGTATATGCACACTATATATACATAAATTATACATAAAATACCACGTTACTAAGCAAAACATCCTAACGGTTTGACTGAACATCAATCAAAATTGTCAGTAAACAATTTGCTAAGTTCTTATGAACCATATCTTTCAGAGCAAACAACAGTGTTTACAGATGAAGCGAAATTTTATGTAGTAAAGCATATTTGTTTTATCCCCGAACATTGTAAATAAGAATTCAGTTGAACAAATCACTTTCTTATTTTACTGTAATAGTTAGTCAGTAAAATTTATCGTATCTTTGAAGTTACCGATCAATTAAATTTGCTTTAAATCTGTAATCAACAAATTTTGTGCCAAGCATATCCACAATAAATGATAGAAATTAAAAAAAATTAAATAAAGGCATTCAGGAACAGACAGATATGTAGACGTTGATACTAACGACTTATGGATAGATCTGTTCAAACCGAATTAACCAACGACAATAAAAGAAGAAAATCCCTTCTAAATTAAATGACAAATTAGTTTCAATCTCTGTTATGTTATGATCAATAGATGAATGCCTACTATATTTACTGATAGAAAGACAACTGAATATCTTCTCTGTAATAAGAACTTTATCAATAAAACATTCATCTAAAGATTTATAAATATTGTCAGATTGGTGAGTTTGATGATAATGCTTTAAAAAAGGTAACTGTAAAAATCGATGAATAATACAAGTAGTAAAAATGGACCACCAAATGCCTTTTCTTATTTAAGGATTTTAATCCGTAGAAACCATTCACCTCTAACAATAATGAGTCTACGGTATTGGAAAATAATGACTTTGAACTTAATGTATACAACTTTGAATGATTGATTACAATTCTTCAAATCTATCGTTCAATATCATGTACAATGATCATATTCTAATTTCATTCTAAGGTACCTATTATTGCACTATATCAGCTCCTTTTATACAACTTATTAATATGGATAGCCGGACATTCAAAAATACCGTGTTCTTTTTCCGTGACAGCCTAAATCAGTATGATAAGACAGTCCAATCCATCCTTTGTAAGATCTTATCTGGAATGTATATACCTGTGATCTTTAGTTTTACTGTGACTGAAAGTTTTATATTCAACTCTTAGCAGGTATAATCAACCATTCACTGATCTTAAACATGGATAAACATATTTACTGATACAATCAACTTTACTGATTTCATATGATATAAATCTGCATGATTAAGTAAAGTGTATCACTTTGTGATGTTTGTTTGAATCTTCTCATTGATGTTTTGGATTGCAGTTGATCAGTCTCTTATTAGCATATGTGTATCCTGTACGGATTATCTCGGTATTGCCCTAAGTTACAAGCATTATAAGCAAAGGGTGATGGTGACTAGCAGTGGAATCCAGGACGCGCGTTTTTTTCCTATTTGGACTCGAACTGGGTTTGAGTCTCGGAGTGAACATTAACCCTGGGATGTACGTACATCCAAATGACGAGTTGCAAGTAGGACGAAACGCGTGTCCTGGATCCCACTGCTACCCCTCTTTCATTTTTGATTGTAAAAGTATACCACTCTTTTTTTTATTTTTTTTTATTAGGCAAGGAGCTTTCGTATTATTTCTATTTAATGAAAATGAAGTGAATTGAATTTAGTTATATAAAAAATTTTACACTCTATAATATTTGTAATAAATTCGGTAGAAGAAGTGGACTCTGGTATAAATTGTTTGAGAAAAGTATAAAATTACTCGATATTACTGAGAGATTATCCACTGGCATTTGATCCACTCTTGACATGTGACAATAAATATTTACTTTTCTTTTTCAATTAACTTTCATACAAAACTGGCGACATCAAGATGTTTGGTTAAGGTTAACGTTTAAAAACCCAAATGACCTCAAATCATACAGCTATGTAAGTAAAAACATTTAGGTAATCAAAATAAGCTAATTTATTTAACATAAGAGTAGATTCATAGTTTAAATGTAACAGCGTGATAGATGAGCTTATTCTTGAAATTTCATGTACAGCGGTTGATAAATAACGTACTAGTGATTTAGTGTTTAAAACACGTGGTTTTAAAAGGTTTCAGGTATGAATCCCACCTGTATCCATCTGAATTTGAGTTGTTGATTCGTATCACTAGTGTTCATACAAACAATGTAGCTTAACACCTTGTACATAAACTTGTATTTGGCAAATCAGCTACATATTCATCATAAAGTAGTACTATTACAAAAAGCATTATAAATCTCATGTAGTTTATTTATTTGGAAACCTTCGTTATAATTTATTTCATTTTACATGGTTACCAAGATAATCATGAAATATGAAATTCATCGGTCATTAATTCAAGTATTTTTTAATACAAATGCATGAAAATCATTTAAATTGATACGCATTATAGTTTCATCAATAACGAAAACTTGTCAAAATTCAATGAATAAATGTCATTTGTTTATTCAAGTACATATTAGTTAAATAAATACCATAAAGATTTTAGTATAAGTTTCAAAGAAAAAAATGAATTAAATCTTTTGATTGAGGTCATGAACCGATTGATTTTAGACCGCCATTGAAAATGTGAAAGCACTAGACGGCCGTTTTGTCCTACTATGGGACTCCTCAGCAGTGCGCATCCATGATCTTGTTCGTGGGATTCGAACCATTGAAATGGTTGTTGTTATTTAGGAAATTGATGAATTTTCAAACAAACTGTAGTACATATGTTAAATATATCTGATCACCCACTGAAAATAATTAACAATTCATCTAATAATGTAAACACTGTTACAAATTATTTAAATCTATTGAAGACTTGTTAATTGCCCAAATTATAAAAGCATTCTTAACACGAGAGTGTAATAAAAACATGTGTAAAATGTATTAATGTTGTCATCATCAGATCTAATAGAAAATAAACAATTACATTCAAATTACACATATTTTAATTGATACGAATCATTTATCAGCTTCCTATACACATCACAATTAAGTGAACAAAATAACCATAAAACTGACAATATTTTCATTTATCTCCCAAAAAAGCATGGGACCTAATAATTGTCGCATGTTATACAAGTTACGAATATTTCATTCACAAACTAAAAACTATGAATGGTAAAAAAAGTACAAAAAAGTTGCTTATTAACAAGGTAAAAGTATATTTGATCTAAACCCCATGTATTTAATACGGTTTTAATTAACTATAAACATAAATTCTTTGTAAATTAGAATTCGATACTAAACACATGTAGACTGAATGAAACCTAATAAAATAGGTAATGTTTGTACTATGTTATTCGAACCACAGCTGATTGTGATCGTAAATGATTTGACCAGATATTTATATATAATCGAATAACTAATTCGTTTTATTTATATAAAAGAGGAAAGAATATTCAAGCATAATCTTTTAATTAATTTCTGGTCCAACATTCATTTATCATTAGTTTTATTCATCAATATATTTTTGAGATAACTCATTGAGTAGAAAATTGTATTTCTGACGTTTCGCAATTTAATGTAAGTCATTTCTTCAATGTAAATAAATTTCTAGTAATCATTATATAATTATTCATAAAATATTTGATTGTTTTATTCTAGCATTCAACAAAGTAAAAGAAAAGGAAAACTTTCTTTCATAATTATTTACATACAGAAATATCGGTCAGAAAATTTTTTTCATTACTGTTTATAATGAGTCTAACTTAACTGTCACGTTCATTACAAAAAAAGAAATCCTATACGAAATCTTATACCACCAAATAGTACTTATTAGTTCATCTGTATTTAATCCAGATTGGAAGCGAAATCGTACTTAAAATAGCGAATACAGCTAAACAAAACCTAATACTGTGATGTAGCTAATTTTACTGATTAGTATTATTACTATTAAACATGAGACAATGTAGTATTATCAATAACCCATAAAGCCATAGAAGACAATATATCTAACAAACCACTGTACACGTACACCTAACTAACAACAGTTATTATCTAGATATCCATGTGTTGACGTTCTCCGAATATCAAAAAATTCATAAATGATCTGTCTCAATAGTAATTTAGCATTCACTATCAGAAATAACTCCTAAATTCTGAGAATACTATTTCAATTAAGCCTTTAATAAAAACTCAATATTTACTAAATGTGACTTACCCATTGTTTTCATAATTTTTTATTTAATCCCCAATATTTGAAATTTGTATAAAATCGTAGATCGTTCGTCATAAAAACACGTTGTAGATATTTACACCGATAGTATTTTTAAAAAAATCTATTTCCCCTCCACTCTCGGAAAGAGATTTTGTCACGTTCTCTATTTGACCTGATAGGCAAATATTACAGTAAAAGGGTGAGAAAAATTGGGCTCCGCACTCTGATTGGTAAATCTCAAGGTCATGTGTGATTTAACCTTGATGGCTTGATTCGACTAGTTTACAATCATTGGGGACAGACCTTCATCCGATCAAAATAATAGTCTATAACTAGTGTTTTTAATGATTATATCTCAATAATAAAAAGAAATTTTATTAAGAATAATAATAAAATATGTTCCCACGGTAAAAGAAATTTACAATAGTATTCGATGTCATATGAAAAGTTTATATTATTGACATTTTTATTTCAGTAGAAAAGTAGACTGCCCTGTTGACAGTGGGTGGACAAAAGTTTTAAAAATAATAATAATAATAGTTGGAAAAGTGGGGTGTTTTAAGTAACTTAATAGAAAATAAGGAAATATAAGTTGTGTAGGCCATATTGATTGATTCATTTTTTTTGTTACGAAATATTTATTCAACTGGTCATCATATCCAGACATAATGTAGATCGCTTCTGTGTAGTTAGTATATCGCTGAAAAATTCCCATTATATTAAAAACACAATTGTATGAACGAAGAATATTCTTTTCAATGAATTTCTCATCAGGTTCTACAATTATCTCATATCCAAATTAATAATCCATAAAATTGGCCAGATTTAAGGCAAAATACATCATCATTTGGAAATTGTAATATGTGAATCAGGAACTGTTTGTTATATAAATAAAATCGTTAATGTTGAGGCTGACTAATATGAAGAGTTAACTTGAATCAGTTTATAAGCGAAATGAAATTGTGAGATAAATTATCAGAATAAATATGGTCAACATGGAGTAAGAGAGAGAGAGAGAGAATATTGTGATTACAAATCGGAAATTACGTAATATGTAAAATAACATGAATTAGGTCAAATATAGTAGATTCAGGGGTGGATATTGAATAAATTCCTCAAAAAGGGGTTATCAAGTGTAAAGACAATCATAGTAATAATAATAATAATAAGTTTGGGACATAAAATGAACATTAATCAGATTATCCCATGTTGACCATATTTATTCTGATCAATTATCTCACAATTTCATTTCACTTATAAACTGGTTCAAGTTAACTCTTCATATTAGTCAGCCTCAACATTAACGATTTTATTTATATAACAAACAGTTCCTGATTCACATATTACAATTTTCAAATGATGATGTATTTTGCCTTAAATCTGGCCAATTTTATGGATTATTAATTTGGATATGATAATTGTAGTTAGTATATTTTGAATGAAATTCATATTAGAAAACTTATAGTAGAATTAATATGATAGTTTATATCTATTCGCTATTGATAAATTGATACTTTTTCATTTCAAAATAACCGCCTTTAAAAGATTAGCTGATAATTTAATTACTTATTTATCCATTGTACGTTTCATTAAGACATTTCTCAAAGACAACTAATTAATACATATAAACTAACTTCTATATCAATGAAGTTCTAAAATGATAATCAGTAAGGCTGTCCATTTAAGAAATATTAAAAACTCCCGGCTGATGCATTGGATCGCTGTAATACATGTACTACTTAAACAACTACTGAACTAGTACACTTAAGACTTTCTTCTATCACATGTTTGCTCTGTACATTCAATGTTACCATTTATGTCAAATTGATCATGCCTGTAAACTGGCGTGAATTCTATATTATTATTTTCAGAATAAATCATCATTATTATAATAACCAAACTTTGATATATTAACATTAAAATTATCCGGACAGAATATACTACTGAAATAATTACGTGATTTAATCAATAGTAAGATTTTCTAACCATGTTATTATGATTAAAAAAACTGATTATACGTTATGTTAATTTTCTTTTAGATTATCTAATACTTAATTGTAAGTGAACCTTAAAATGTAAATTACTTTAATTTTTATTCTAACTAATCATTAGATTATTTAATAATTTAAATTCATTTGGGAATTATGCCGAATTTTGCATTAATAATCAAAGTTCATTATTCCAAAACTTGAATATGTGATATAGAAATATATTAATTAACTTTAATTTATGAGGCTATAAATAATAATTTACTATTTTTATAATACCATAATGAGTGGAACTTTATACTTCTGATGTTTCGTGATTTTGTATGAGTGACTTCTTCAGAATATATACTTGAGTTAATATTATTTTGATTATTTATCAATATGCTCTGAAGAAATCGCTTAAATTATGTCGCGAAACATCAGATATCACAAAATGTATTTATTATTTTAATGAATCAAATGAGTTGATTAGGGCAAGGAATGAACTTGAATAAAATGATTTTCATTCAACTTCTCATGAATAATACACCACTAGCTAGTTACTAATTAATTTCAGTGAGTTGAATAAGCAACATCATATTAAACATAACATGTAATTGATAAGATTTTAAGAATTATAAGGATGACAGGTGAATTTAAACCGAAATCTAAAGTGTAGACAGATTTGTATAGTAAACCTTTAAGTTTATAACTCGACACTCAAACGAATGACTACAACACTTGTCTACTAATCACAACTTTATTTCTCTTCTGGCCTCTAGCTGATATATGAATAAAAATGGTTTAGATAATTTTCTCCTCACAAAGCTATAAATATCTCATTTATGAAATCTATTCGTAAATTATGCAATATCCTTTCGTATATCAGAACATAAATAAGCTTATCGGTCATACTAAGTTATATCATCCTCAAACAGTTAGTCTTTCATAGATATTTGTATTTGTACACGCTGACCAGAATTTCAATTTCACATAATTTCTATCTTAATCAAATATTTCTGATTCTACCTATTAACATCAATGTAAGTGGTAATAATACAAATATGTGTCTTTATCAATCAGGTCAAACGACAGAAATCTTAAAATAGACTTTAGTATACTAAATATTTATAAATCTCAGTGGTTGAGATCATGAGTCAATTAAAGCCAGACCACCATGGAAAACCTGGAAGCACTGGACGGCCGTTTCGTCCTAGCATGAGACTCCTCAGCGGTACGCATCCACGATCCCCACGCGAGATTCGAACCCAGGACATATCAGTCCCGCGCGCGAGCGCCTAACTACTAGACCACTGTCTAACTTCAACTAACCCACGAAATTGAGCAACACATCCATCATTGTCTTCAGTGAGTTACTATCTCCCAACGGACCTGATTGAATACCATTGGTCACTGCTTCTCACTAGAACTTCAGGAAATACCTCTTGAAGTCAGTCACTAGTGAGCATATGTTGCTTTATATTAGAATGGATTTTGTGGATATTGTAGTAATTTCAATGGTTGAGATCATGAGTCAAGTGAAACTGTGAAGGAGTCCCATACTAGGACGAAACGGCCGTCCAGTGCTCCCAGGTTTTCCATAGTGGTCTATCTTCAACTGACTCATGATCTCAACCATTTAACTTACTATAATATCAATAAAAACCCTCCTGATATTTATGAATTTATCAATCGTAGAATAGTCTGACTAACATGAAAATAATACGATATTATTGAGAATTCCCTGATCATATTTTGATTTCACCATTTTTTTTGTTTTTCTAAAGTGAATCAGTGACTGATCAATTGTATCAATATTTGAAACTAATTTATTTACACGTGTAAGATCAAAATTTTTCAATCAGACAACCTTGAATCCATGATCACATGTTTAAATCTTATTCTAACATTAGCGGATTATGAACATTTTGAAATGACATTTAATAACAAGTATTTAGATTGTACAAATGTAAATGATGTATACTTCTGATAACAGTGTAAATCAGAAAAGAATAGAATTTGCTTTCAATATGTACTTTATGATATATACAGGGAAAAAATGTATGGATATTTGATTTCATAAATTCAATAAATGTTCATACGAAATATTCCAAAGTAACTTTAACATATTTAACTTATCATAATAAATGGTAAACAACAAATATAAAACATGAATAAATATAAGATGTATCTTATTCACAATACCAATTATCTATTTGTCAACATAGTTACTATTCCACTACTATCCGCTATCTATGTTTGCCTAAAAAAGCTTGTGACTTAAAGCTATATCAAAGCAATCCGCACAGGATGCACATATGTCAACAATGAACTGATCAATTGTAGACCTAAATAACAATGGGAAGATACAAATAAAACAGCACCAAGTGAATTTGAACAAAATAATTTCTAGAAAAAGGAAAATAAAAGTAGTAAAGCAAATCACAAATAGAATTTATGTAAACCTGAATATATTTGAAATGATGACTATTTCTATTATATATTTCTTTGTAATTATTCATTATTCATTTTTCGTTATCATGATACGTTGGTTGCAAAATTAATAAGCATAAAGTTTATAACACAGTACACACTTAACAATCATCCTAGAAGCTATTCAGTTTTGCCTTCATGTCGACAGTAATATAGTTTACTAGATGTCAATATTTCTCCATGGTAATAAGTCACATATTCAACAGTACATAATTTATAAATATTAGAGTATCTTATTCCCACTATCTGTTCCCGATATGTACCAACTAATAGACAACTTTTCAAGAATTTCTATTTGATATATTTAACTTACAAAATAACGAGAATTATGTGGGTTATGAAATGTATATGTCGGTAGTATATACATTGACAAAATTGGTGACGGTATTTCATTAACTGATACTTGACATTCAAAAGAAATACATCAGAAAGTCATTCATACTCCTTTAAAAGATAGAACAAATGAAAACAATTCAGGGATTTAATAACGGAATAAACTATACCTATTAAATTTATAAAAGATTTAAAAGCTACTTTAAATTGCTAGTTCAGAAATGAAAGAAGAAAATACAATAAATACTTTAGAATAAGTATTAATTGCATGTTTTTA